TTTTCCCCGCCTACCTCTCTCTTCAAACATCCAGTACTACCTGTACTGCTGCCTGCTGGCCATGCTGGGAGTGATCGTGTTCGTCAGGACATGCTTGTCCATGAAAGCACTGCTGCTCACCCTGGCTGTGGTGGTTTACCTCGCCCTCTTCCTCCATGTTTTTGCCCCGAGGTCCATATGCCTCATCGACCTGCTTTACAACAACACAAAGTGAGTGAAACTGGAAATGCAATGACATTTATTTGCCGGGGTTCCAGTCTATTTTCATGTGCCTGAACTTTATTTTGAAAATGAAGCACCCTGCTACAACATGGCACTGTAGACCAAGTACTCGTGATAATGCAAGGTTATAAATGATATGCATGAAAGTGTGCAAGCATGAATATATATGTATTTACGCTTAATAGCTTTCCACGCAGACTCTCAGTAATCCTACTTAAATTCACTTTCCATTCATCCACATTCATTCACTGCTCTCATCACAGTCATCACACTGTCTGTCCTGCTCAGCCAAGGTGTCACATTTCCTGCCTTTTTGTCCGCTACTCAACAGTCCAGATTGTGAGTCCTTGTCTGGAGTTTCAGATCACTATCATTTATTCAAGAGCTTTCTACAGACAGAGGCCTGTGTAGGGCTGCAGCCCCATTGACTGTGAGATACGAGACACTCTTGTCTGAGGAATTATGTAAGGGAAAGGAAAAAAGAGTGACGGTAGTTTTGTAGTCAAGATCATGATGGAATATGGCTCTAAATATGTGAATGTGCATGTGTTTTACTACAGCCCGGGAGTGCTGAAGGACCCTCGTATCATGTCCGGGGTTTGGCTGGTCATCTTTTATATTGTATGCCTCATACTGGCCAGACAGGTGTGTGTGTTTGTGTTTACAAATATTTACAAGTCTGTTTCTATTTCATGTACAATTAATAGTTTTTCCCAGTTTTGAAACAAATGAACTTGTGTCCAGATTTGTTGATACATATTTGTACTCTGTCTTTCTCTTTCATTCTCTCTCAGGACGAACTTGGTTGCCGTGTTGACTTCCTGTTGGAGCGATGTTTCCGAACAGAAAGAGAGGAGATGGAGACCGTGGTGAACGTCAACAAGCTTCTCCTCCAGAACGTCCTGCCGCTCCACGTTACCTGTTTCTTCATTGGCAAAACTGTTCGGAACCAGGTAAATAAAACGACTCACAGCAGGGTTGTAATGTCGATTTTCATTTCCCATTCACATATTCTTTTTTGGTGATGGTTTTGAGTCATTATACAATTAAGAAACCTTTTAGGACATTCATTCACAAAACGTAGCTGAACACGTTTGACTTCTGGCTCCTAAATTTACAGGCTTCATGTTATCTCTTTGAACTGAGTCCTTTACTTTAAAAACTCTCCTCAGGATCTTTACAGTCAGTCATATGACTGTGTGTGTGTGATGTTCGCCTCAGTGCCTCAGTTCAAAGAGTTTTACAGCGAGAGCAGTGCCAACAGGGACGGTCTGGAGTGTTTGCGCTTCCTCAACGAGATCATATCAGACTTTGACGAGGTATGAGGAACAATGCAATTTAATACTGTCACTGTTAGCATCCCCAGCGTTTAACATTTTGTGTGTGTCTTACATTATTCTCTTTCCTCATGTCTCTGTCACACAGCTTCTCTCCAAGCCCAAATTCTCCTCAGTGGAGAAAATCAAAACCATCGGCAGCACATACATGGCTGCTGCGGGTCTGACAAAATCACTTCCAGGAGATGATAGAAAGGTTAGCAACATTTAAGCCTGTTAAAACACCCCATCGACAAAGTCCTTCGCTGTTTTTTTGTTCAAACTTTGCAACATAGATCTTGCGAATTATACACAGGCTGTGGATAAATGTTGAGTTGGTCAAAGAGACTAATATCTGGTATCCTGAAATCTAGTCTTAACATTAAAGTGATCCCTGTTGAACACACTCTGCCTGACCTGATCATGTGAATGAACAATATGATCTCTGGCTCCCCCTACAGAAATGTGACATGCCCTACAGTCATGCGCGTGCCATGGTGGAGTTTGCCATCGCTCTGATGGGCAAACTGGAGCTTATCAACACACACTCTTTTAACAGCTTCAAACTCAGGATCGGTGAGTTGGTAGTGGAAGCATACTGATAAGATTGATGCCTTGTTTCCATCTCTTTCATCTATACGTACTTTGTCAAATGACTGTAAATTATATGAGGATGTACTTTTTAAATGCTGAAGAAAAGTTTGTAATTTTCTCATTAATGTCTTGTTGTTCTGTGCATTATTTTAGTTTTAATTTAATTTGTAGAGATGTTAAAAGTATTTTCTAAATACAAAATTAAACTACCAAAAGAAAACACACTAATATTTTCTACATGCAAGACTTTCCCCTGATCTATCCCTCTTTATTGTTTACATGCAGGAATAAACCATGGTCCAGTGATTGCTGGGGTGATCGGAGCTCATAAACCTCAGTATGATATCTGGGGGAACTCTGTTAACGTGGCCAGCAGGATGGATAGCACAGGAGTGCTAGACAAGATACAGGTCTGGGAAAAAGAGACAGAAATAATGAAACATATAATACATCCTGTTTCAGTAAGAAACACATCAAATTAAGGAAGCAAGAATTGGTTTTTCACACTAACTGACAAAACTTATTAAAGCAATAGCAATAACAATAGCGACATTTATTGTCTGTCTTCTTACCTGATGTTGAAAGTGTTTGGACTGGGGGCGTCGCGTAGTGCAGTGGCTTACGCAGGCGCCCCATATATAGAGGCTACAGTCCTCGCTGCAGCTGGCCCCCGGTTCGACTCCCGCATCGGACGGCCCCTTCCTGCGTGTCATTCCCCTTCTCTCTGCCTCCCCATTTCCTGTCTCTCTACTGTCCTGTCCATTAAAGGCAAAAAAGCCCCAAAAATTCTTTAAAAAAAAAAAAAAAAAAAGTGTTTGGACTGCAACACATTTCCCCTAGTATTTACTCCACATCAAAAGCTTTATTAGTAGCTGTGGACTTTCTGAAGCAGAAGTGGATAAATGGTTGGGTGAGTGGATGAAAGGTTGGCTCTTTCTCACTATGAATTTCCCTCTCTCTCTCTCTGCTCCCAGGTGACGGAGGAGACGGCCCAGTTGGTCCAGAGCATAGGATACAGCGTCACCCTCAGGGGAGTAGTCAACGTCAAAGGCAAAGGGGAGCTTACCACCTACTTTGTTAACACGGAGCAATCATCTCCTCAGTTCTGACCTCCACAGTCAAATACTGAACAGACTTAAACTTATCACTCAGACCTGGGTCCAAACATTAGTTGCAAAGGCTTCTTATTTGTTTTTTGATGAAACTCATGCACCAGATGAGTGGATCTTGTTGCAACCAACAGCATGGCTTTGCATGACTAATCTTTGTTGCCTACAGAGATGAACACAATGACTTGAAAATACTTCTGTAGTTTCAAACTTAACCATCATCAGCGTTTGCACTGACTCACTGCTGAAACCGAGCTGTAGCAACACAGATCATCAACTGTTAATCATTTACATCTACCAGGGAGCTGCCTGTGTCTTTTGGATGAGACACTAAATAAAATTCTGACCAGTTAAATGAAGACATGAGACTTCAACTGGCCACTGAAAGCAGAAAGCTTTCTACTCATGGACCGTACAGTGGACAACCGTGTTGCTTACTGTATCTGTACTGTATGTGCACTATGTGTATCAAGTCCCTGTCACACAATGTTCACTGCTTTATTCTGAAAACATATAACCTTAATGATACTTTTTGGTACATTTAACATGGCTGAATCACATGCATTGTCAACTTAAAGAACAATGTTAATTTATATGGTTATTTTATTGGAAAAAATAAGGTTTCCATCTTATATCAGAGATTTCTGTTTTGTGAGGTAAGCTATGCCTCACATGAGAAAAATAACTACTATTTATATTATTTACAATATTTTCATTCTATTCTGTTTTCACAAAGTTACAAAAAACATATAGGTTTTAGCTCTGATTTTATTCAGAATCTGAGTAAGTTGATACAGAATATTCACATACACAAAAATGGGGGGCAGATATTTTGTGTACTTGCAGCACTAATGCAATTGGTCTTTTCCATTGGCTCCCAACCCCCAAGGGGTGACAAGATAAACCTGAGGGGATCACAGGATGATTCATGGCATAAGAAAGAAGAAAAAACACAGGATTTTTATTAATATAAATTTCATCTTTCATTTTTTCTCCAATCTGTGCTTTTATTGTGAAATGCTGGATAGTTTTACCTTCTAAGCTCAATGAAAATTATTCAAATGCATCAACCTGAAGAGGGGAAAATTACTCTTGGTATAAAGTTCACAAACCCAATAAACATGTCTAAGTAGAGGTTGCTTTATTTAGGGTGTACCATGCCAAAAATGGTTGGGAACCACTTGTCTGACCATTCACGGCTGGAACCGGAGAGATTTACTGCAACTGTTATTTATTCGCTACTGCCCAGAACTGACAATAATGATGCTGTGACACATCTACACCCAGGAATAATGATATGTTGAGCCATGAAAAGTCAGATAAAGCACCTTTGACATTGCACTTTTTAATTTGATGTATTTTTTAAGGAGAGTTCTGTGTTATGATTTGATGATTACACACAATATTTGCCCTTTCTTATTAAATATGTGTATCTATGAGGGATGATCTGAAGTGTGAATGTACAAAGAGTTGTTCTATATAGGGAAATATTTTTTTTATTTTATTTATAAACTAATAAAAATACAACCACTTGTGTTTTTGTATGTGTACCAACTTCCTACGTGTTTATTAGCTGCTGCCTGTTAAGGGCCTGTTAAGAACTGTGGAATTTCCCTCACTCCCGATAACGCCCACAAGCGGTCTGATTGGCTAAAACTACTCCCCCGCTGAACTTTCCTCTCTTGCTATTGGCTTTGCGTTGGTGTCAGTCAACATGCTTCCTGCTTCACGGTGCGGAGTGTTGTTGAAGCGGAGTTGCTTTAAATGTGAGGGGAAATATTGAGGGTAGGCGTCGATGAAGTTGGTAAGTTAAAAGCCTACGGTGATTCGTAAAGTTAACTAAGTGTTCTTTTATTCGAGGATAAGGCATAAAGGTACCTCGTACTATTTTAACGGTTTTCACTGACGGATTTCAGTTTGAACATGAATGAAGAAAGTTTAAATGTGAACGTTACTTACCTGCCGTTACCATCACTTGAGGTGAACGGACGCGCTTCGGTTCTTTTGTTGGTACTTTGTAAATAATTGTAATTCTTAATTTTACAGGAAAATTATGCTTTAATTCTCATGTGAACCAGCTACATATTAGGACACTTAAAAGATGTCAGGGGCTCATGAGCAGAATAGGAAACGCCGCCCCCCCAAAATGTTCTTGATCACGGCCGACGTCAAGGTGCAGGACCAGCTGGAAGGTACCATTCGACTGCAGCGGGGGTTCATCTGCCAGGAGCAGGACTTGAGCAAGAGCAGAGGGGACTACCTTTGGGTCAAGGTATTGACACATATGTAGATTTAGAGATTTACATAATCTAAACCAGAGTGTTATTAATTTATCAACTCAGGAGATCAACTACTATACTGTAAAAAAAAACAACTTAAATTACATTTTAATTAAATAAATACAAATTTAATTAATGGCACCCCTTTCAATTTAAGGATTTGTTGCTTTTCTTTGTCATAAATGGCACTTTAAAGAGAAAAAAACTAATAATTTAACTTTATTACCTTTTAATTTAAAAATTATTTGCAGCCAGTTGAAACATAGGATACTTAAAACATAATAAAAATGTGCAAAAATAAATGCTAAAACCTAAGCTCATATGAAACAATGTACATAAGTGAAAGTATATCATTAAAGCTGAAGCACATCTAGACATCATCATTCAACCTAGTTACCAATGGTTTATATGGAAGACTCATCATCAGCTGAGTCATCACATTTAATAGTTTGATGGCAGAAGAGATGAAGTACTTTCTCAGCCTGTTAGTCCAGGCCTTTGCTGCTGCGTAAAGAGGATGGAGAGGACACTGTAAAATGACCCATGCCTTTGGAATTGCTCTCTTTTTAAATCGATGCTCACCTTTTTCAAAAGGGTGGACGTACTTAGAATTCAGTTTTACTAGTGTTCTGTGGTTTCTTTCCCTTCTGTCCCACATATTTGCCTTTGTCCTCTTTTTTTTCCCCACAGGTGTTAGACAATGGTACCATGGTCAAATTAGAAAGGAAGTTCTTGCAAGAAGTCCCGAGTGACCTCAGCGGTCTGTTGGAGCCAGTATCTGATCTGGACGCTCGCCTAAAGCTTCTAAGTAATACACTAATATTTATCAAAGTCGTGTCACACATATAACAAGCAAGAGGAATAGTAAATATTATCAAAATAGCAGTAGAGGATGCAGCTGTTGTAACTGTGAAATGCTTATTTGCTAGCATTATTGTAATGAACATGTCTGTGCTAAAATAAGGAACATTGATAATCTTTGCAGTGGAAGTAATTATAGAGATGGTACAAAAAAATGTTACTAACTCAACCTGACATGCTGGAGCAGAAAAGCAAATTCTCTACTGTTACCACTGCTCAATTTTTTTTCTTTAATGTGGAACATGTGATCTTCATGACAGTCGGGGCAGACGCTGAGGGCAGAGTTCAAATATGGGTATTTTTAAGTGGAAAACGGGAAGTAAAGCAATATCACTTTTTTGTCTTCATGGACTGATCATTCCCTGGAAATGACTCCAACACTGGCCTATTTTTGATAGTAATAATAGTAATAGTGAAGCAAACAACTTCAGTAAAATCTGAATTCTTTATTCAAAGCATATTTATGGACCTAAAAAGTAACCGAAAAGTTCCCGGAGAGCTTTAATCAAATGTAAATACCAATACCAGTGTTTGTTTCCCCGCTCTGTAGTGAGGTCATCATTGTTTTATCGTTCTGTGTTTTTCAGCCAACCCCAGGAAGCTGCAGCAGTTTGCGTCTTTGCCCCTCGATACCCCGCTGTGGGTCCACATGGGCCAACAGGGCGAGCTGGCAGAGGCGGAGCTTAAATACATAGGTCCACTGACCAGAGGGAGCAGCCCAGTGTATTTTGGGGTACAACTCAAGGTCTGTAAGGATTTATGAGAAAAGCATCCCACTGAGTTTGGAGGGATTTTATTTAATCGGTGTGTAAACAAGATGTTTAACGAGGGCACTATGGGCTCTAGGAAATTGCGATGGAAAATTTTTCACTGTTTTCTGTGAAGTGAAAATGGACCGACCTGCAGCTGTACCCATGTTTGCAAAGCAGAAAGTGCGCAATCGCATCATGCTCGAAACAGACACCTGTCCCTGCCCATTAAACACCTTGTTCTCTCTTTTCTTGTTCTTTTACCCCGTCTCTGCTGCTCCAGGGTTCAGCGGCGGGTAAAGGAGTGAGCAACGGTTCCTATAAGGGTCAGCGGCTCTTCACCTGCCCCGAAGCCTGTGCCCTCTTCCTCCCGGTCAGTGACATCAGTTTCCGCCACTGGTCTAGAAATGGCTGTGATCCACAGGAGCGACCCCGCGAGCGAGAGCACCAGCGCATCAGTAATAATCACCCCAGCAATGGGCACCATAGCAACAACAGCCGCTCAAATTATCATCATCAGCAGCAGCAGCAGCAGCAGCAGCAGCATAGTCGTCACATTAGTTTCCACCAGCATCGTCCCAGCAGCCCTCCTCAGGCGCAGGCTTATGGCATCCTCTCTCGAACAGCTGAGTCGGCGCCCATCACTGCTCAAAACCAGACCCAGGTCCGAGGCCCTGTGTCACCCCCACCATTCCATGTTGGCCAGCGGGTGTGTTTCCCCCTGAACGACATAGTCTATAGCGGGGAGGCGCGCTTCTGTGATCTCCTGCCTGGCCGGCCCTTGACAGGGATGTACGTCGGCATTCTGCTGGTCAGTACGACACAGGAGATGAAACTGGAATTATATGATTATAAGTTAGTGCAGGTTCTTTTTTTCACTCATATTAACCATCAGAAACATTAATGGCTTCTTTTACAAAAGCAAAACATAGAGACAGTTAATCAAACAATGGGGACTTTTATGACATATTATGGCAGCACAGTCAGAACGTAGTGGGAGCACTTTTTTCCTCTGATGGAAAGATAGAAAAACTTCCTTAAAAGTTATTCTGGTGCCTTGCAGAAGTCCAGGCTCACAGATAACATACTTATATTTTTAGTTTTATTATTGTTATTTGCACATAAAACGGCATAAAAGAGATGTAAAACAGATGTGGTAGGAGAGGAGATGTTTTTTCTCACATGTAGCAAACTTCACATTATATATTCTGCAAAAAATGTCCTTTAGTCTGATTTTGTATGTTTGCTTGGAGCCACCAATTTTTTTTCGTTTCATGTATCACTGCAGTCTGTGTCTTTGTGACTGAACTTCCTTTATTATAACCTGGAGACTGGAACATGTTTATCATTATGTTTTTCTAAAAGTCTTATTTGCTTCTTTTTGTGGATCAGTTTTATGTTTTGTGTTTGACTCGCAGGACGATCCTGTTGGTAACTGGGACGGGCATTACAAGGAAGAGAGGCTCTGCCACATTCCTTCCCAAGCCTATGGACTATTACTGCCAATCACCAAGGTTTCCTCAGGTACACAACAAAGCCTCACAGCTGCTTTTGGGCATTACACCCTTTTTATTATTTTTATTCTTTATAAGCGAATTCATTCTCAGGGACACCTTAACAATATGTATGTCTGTTTATTAACTATCCAGTCCTTAGAATCAAGCTTCGGAGCAAGCTAGTCCAGGTTAATTTTGCAGTTATTGTAACCCCTGACCTTGTTAATGAACTGTATTGTTCTTAAAGGAAACTGAATCATAGACAGAAATCCTTCTGTTTTTAAAACTAAAATCCCCACATTTTGATCTGGTGTTTTTCCAAGCTTAAGAATGTAAACATTAAAAGCTCATGACAAAAGGAACCTGCTGGGCTTACTTCAAGCACACTCGCACAGAGCCAAGGATATAGTTAAAATGCCTTTTTTGTGTTTGGGCACATCAGAGTAAAATATGTAACAAAAAAATCCCAAAAAGGGAAAAAAACACGACCTGGTTGGAAAGAGAAGTACACCAAAAGGAGGGTTGTGATTCCTTATATAGGCCATATAGATAAGAAGATATTAGTTACTGAAAGTGATTAAAAACTCATGGTTTTTCTGAAACATGCAGGATATAAAACATATTTCAGAAAGGAATTATAATGGGAGGGTTTAAAATGGAAATCAGATTGAAATCTTAGAGTTGACTATTGTAAAGTATATTTTGTCATTATGAAGTTGTAAATGGTAAATGTGGAAACACAAATATGTGTGTACCTGAGCTTAAAAGTCTGACTTTTTTATTTGATTTCTCAGAGCCAAAATCTCACCGTCTTCCTCACCAAATGCCCAAGTCCATCCTGAGGCCAGCACCACCCCCCGTCACTAAACCAGGCCCCACATCACCATCCGCCCTTGCTCCCAAGGTCGCCTTGCTGCCCCCGAGCAGACCAGCACTTAAACCCCCTCCACTGCCGCCACCGAAACCCACCCAGAAACCCTTGCATGCTCCCCCTCTCCCGCCTCTAAAACCCCGCAGTCCAACGTCGCCCACTGCTGCAGAGCAACTGCAAAACACCAACGGCGTACACGGCCCCCTCTCCCCGCTGAGGTCTCCAGATAACCCCAGAGCCGCTGGGGAGAATGGAGAGGCGGGACTGGAGGGTGAGCTGGAGGTGGGCTCCATGGTTGAGGTGAACGACCCTCCCCTCTTTGGAGTTATTTGCTGGATTGGACGGATCAGCGGGATTCCTGAACCAGTGGCAGGAATAGAGCTGGTGAGGAGAGTTTCAGTGACGAGTTTTTATACTAGTTTTATAGTTTTAGGTTCATTAATCTTTTTAAAGTTATTATTTTCTGTATTTTCATTAATGTATGTAAACAACGCAGAAAAGAGGCCTGTATGTAAAGTCACAATCAGATGACGAAGTTTTTTTTCCATCATAAAGACAAACACTTTCTTTCTGTGCATTAATTAAGATCAAATTGGTGAAAAGAGAGGGAACTATTGGGTCTTTAAGCTCTATTTTATTTCCGCTGTGCACTCATTTAACTCTTGTCCCTTTTACTCATTTTAAAATGTGATGGCGAAGGTTGAATTGGGATTTAGATTGGAGAGAAATGAGCAGTTCTCTGTTTAGAAATGTAACATCTGTCATCTGTAATGAATGTTTTCTAAATCTAAAACAAACAATAAGAGTTGGATTTTAGTTTGTTGTTGTGAATTTGATTCTTCATGACTAATACATTTCATTTCCTTTTACCTTAATTCAGCGCTGTCTTTTGGATGATGTCATTTACCCATGTGTCCTTTAGGTGGCACACACAAAATTAACTTTGTTTTGATTCTTTGATTTTACGATAGGCAGCATGGAAAACCTGCCAAGCATCAGTTACATAAAAAGATTCAATAGTGACTGATATAATGTTGTATTGCAGTGTATCACACTGATAACACAAAGCCACTGTGTGTGTGTGTGTGTGTGTGTGTGTGTGTCAGGATCAGGAGCTGTCTGCAGGAACAGACGGCAGTTACCTCGGTGAACGTCACTTCCGTTGTCCGGCCAACAAGGGGCTGTTTGTCAAGCTTCGCAACTGTAGGAGGGACTCCAGGTTCCCCGCACCTGAGACGCCTGTTAATCAAGTGGAGCGGTGCAACTCTATAGGTGAGAAAACACGGTTGCAGTGTCTGACGTCTCTGGGTTTGTGAAGGGGATGCTGGATACCAGAAAATGCTCATATTGAAGCTTCATCTGGAGCCTGAATGGCTTTCCCTTCCCGTTTCCCTTTAATGTGTCCTACTGTCCTCTGTGTCCCTGCGGCTCCCAGCCTTTGCAGAGTGGGGCAGCGAGCGTGTGGAGGAGCACACCCCTCCTGTGGACGGAGACGAGGCCAGAGAGCTCTACCACGGCTGGAAGAGAGGCATCCAGGGTCACCTCAACTCCTGCTACCTGGACGCTACGCTGTTCAGGTAAAGTCTGGGACTTCATCTAGGGAACATGTCAACATTAAAAACAGCTTAGTGTGCAGCGCTTCAGAAAAATAGATGCATCAGGTCATAAATGTTGAAACTCATTGAGAACGTGTGTCAGTGGTTTACATTTAGTCCTTCATAAACACTGTTGGCCTGCCACGACAGTTGTGTAATCAGTGGCATGTTCCTATAAATATACATTTGCGTAACTTCTCTCTGTTGCTGGTTAATGTGTAACACAATCGGGATTTAATTTATAACCAGTTTGTAAAACATTTTACACAGCTTTGTTGCTCTAGATCCTCAGTTTGTAGTTGTTTCTCCTTTTTTCCCTACCTCTTTTTTTTCTCTTTTTACATTTCAGGCTGAATTTGGATGAACACAAGGACTATGTATTATATAACCTGTGTGTCTGCGTCTCTCTCTCCAGTCTGTTCTCCTGCTGTAGTTCAGCAGACTGGGTGTTGTTTTGGCCGTCCGACCCAGACACTGACCAAAACTCCAGCCAGGCTCAAGACCTGCTGCGCTGCGAGATAGTCAACCCCCTTCGAAGGTCCGTAAATGTGCTTGTGTGTGACTGGCTCTATACATCAGTCATCAGTGTGTGAGAGTGTGACAAGGATATTTTTTACTATAAATGTGATCAGAATCATTTAACACAACACGATTGATCCAATCATTGATTATTGTCGTACTATTCTTATGTTTTTATTTACTTTCTGTGTAACTGATCACATTCCTTGTTTGCATGTTTTTTTTTTTCATACACAAGGCTTTCCCTAAACTGTTTGTGTACTGGTGTGTTTCCAAGGTATGGCTACGTGTGCGCCAGTAAGACCATGGCCCTGAGACGACTGCTGGAGGCTGCCAACAGCGACATGGGCTTCACCAACCAGGAGAAAGGTGTGTGTGTGTGTGTGTGTGTGTGTGTGTGTGTTCAGACTGAGGAATGCTGACATGCTGCTCTTGTTCTGTCTGTCAGATCCTGAAGAGTTCCTCAACAAGCTTTTCCAGCTCCTCAGAGTCGAGCCGCTCCTCAAGATCAGGTTGTGTCACAGCCACTGTTTGGTTTAGTTTTTTCTCTTCACACTCTGTCATGCAAAAGTTTGCCTGGTTATTGCCTGGTTTCTTAAAGTTTTCACTGCTCAAGTAAAAAGACACTGACTCAAACACTGGATTAGAAATATATTTAATAACTAGTGAATTCATAGACATAAAAATACTCTGAGGATGATGATCAGTGTTTGATCTGGTTTTTCTACCAAAAAGGTTTAAAAATGTGACTGAGATTCAAGGTGAGCACAGGAACTTTCCCTTTTAGACTCTGCACATGGATCATTCTGTACAGTGAAGGTTAAATATCAAAGTGAAATAATAATTATAATAATAATAATAAGCAAAACTAATTTCTGAGTGAAGGGAATCTGTAAAGAAGGTTTCTCCTTAATTTCAGTTACTGACACCAACTCCTCATTTTCTCTCTTTTCTTCATTCTTCATGTCTTCTTCTTCTTCTTCTTCTTCTTCTTCTTCTTTCTTCCAGATCAATGACTCAGGAGCCTCAGGAGTGTCACCTCTACCAGCTCTTCCCACCTACCCTCGCTCCCTCACCCTACTCGCCCTTACCCCAATCATCACTTGACTCCCCCATCCCCCTCTTCTCCCCATCGTCCAATCGGATGAGAGTCGCCAGCGTCCAGGCCCTGCTGGAGTCCTCCTTCCTCCACGCCGGCCTCAAGTTTGTCGAGGTAACAGAAACACGCTGAAGATTTCAGAGCGGGGATGAATTTAGTAGCAAAGTTCAGCCTGTTGTTAAAAGCAGTTTTACCTTCTGAGTCCACATGCAAAAACATTGATAAGCTCATATATCGATCGCCCTTCAGGCTCCCTCCTGCCTCTTGCTGCTCATGCCCAGGTTTGGGAAGGACTTCAAAATGTTTGACGCCATCTTGCCGACGCTCAGCCTGGACATCACAGACCTGCTGGACGACAGTAAGGACCATTTCAGGAAACTGTCAACTGTTTCTGGTTTGATTTTGTGCACTTCCGCTCCTTTTTCAGTTGATTTAGTTTATTTGTGTAAGTTTACATAAAAATTATTGAAGTGAAGCTAATATCTCAGGTTTTATTTTAATTAGTTTTTTCTTTCTTTAGTTTTTACTGAAGATGACCTCAGACATTTTTTACTTTGCATTTATGTATTCTCTCCATCCTCGTCTCTCTCCAGCTCTGAGGCAGTGCAGCATCTGTCAGGCTGTGGCTGAGTGGGAGTGTCTGCAGTGTTATGAAGATCTAGACATCATGCCCGGTCGTCTCAAACAGTACTGCCCCACCTGCAACACACAGGTAGCCGCTTCTTACTAATTAGTAGCAAGACAATTTTTCCTTTCCCGAGCAGCCCAGTTCTCGTGTTTGTTAATATAAACTAACCAAATCTTAACCAAAAATCCAAGTTCAACACAACTGATGTTTGCTGTTTCCTAAAGTCTCCTCCTCTCTGTTGAGGTGTATTGATTGTTACGCTTACAGGTTGAAATGATTATGATATAATCATAATGATAAAGATGTAAAGCACTCTCAGCCTCATTTTCTGTCTCATGTATCTGTCTGCCTCACATATCCACTCTGTCTTTTCTGTTGATTATCAGGTCCACAGTCACAGGAAGCGGACGTCCCACAGCCCGGTGAAGGTTCGTATTCCCAAGGGACCGTGGACCGGCCCTCTGCACTGCACTCGCCAGCGAATGTCTCTCTTTGCTGTGACCTGCATCGAAACCAGCCATTACGTCAGCTTCATCAAGCACGGCCCCCTCCCCACCGACTGGCTGTTTTTTGACAGTATGGCAGACCGGGAAGGTGAGAGCTCTTACATTATCGGATAAACATAACACAAGGACAAAAAAAGAGAAGCTGTTTCACTGTGTGCTCTCCCCCAGGTGGCGAGAATGGCTTCAACGTGCCCCGGGTGAAGGCGTGTCCTGAGGTGGGTCGCTACCTCAGCCTATCGGAGGAGGAGTTGAGCAGAGTGGACGCCGCCTCTTTACAGGAGCCCGCCCGCCGCCTGCTCTGTGACTCCTACATGTGTCTGTACCACAGCCCCGAGCTCAGCCTGTACAAGTGATGTGTACGGTCAACACAGACACAGATCCGACATGCTGTACAGCTGATTCAGACACGTGGTCCTCAGGTTCTTCGTCTTATATCACTGTCGGAAGAAAACATTGCACTCACAAAATATTAACTTTTTTTTCTTGAGATTAACAAAAACCACTCTTGAACAAACAAATGTTCAAACATAATCTCTTAGTATTTTTCTGGTGTTGTACAAAAAGAGCAAATACATGTCATTTGTGCTTTTCAGGATAGGGAGTCTTAACTTGTCAAACTGAATGCAAATAATTATTTATTGTGCAGAAGACAGAATGTTTTTCATTTAGATTGGTTAGAAGAGTCTTTGAGGACTCTGGTAATATATGAAAAATGAAAATAAGTGCTAAAATACTGAACAGAGCCTCAGAATTACATATAATATCTTCAGACAAAATAAAAGTGTGGCAGTCATCCAAATTGACTTGAGAACGGCAGTATGACCCACATCATCTAATATGCTGAATGAACAAATTGCCTGTAGTGTATTGTTGGTTTAGGAGCTTTATACACTCATGAACTTGGTGGTAAATCAGTCTGATGGGTGTCAGTATTGATCTTTATAGCTGAGTTTACCTGTGCCTTAATAATGCTCACACACCTTACAGAACCACTGTGCCTGTAACCTATAACACACAAACACTTTACACTTCAATTTGCACTGCTTCATTTACATGTCAGTGTCTGTATATAATAGCATTGCCTTAAACTGACTGTAAAGATTGCACCCAGATGTTTAAACTTTTGAATTGTTTATGGGTTGTTTAATGTAAAACAGCTGTAAACAATGAGGATAATGTCCCAGATAATAAAATATTTCATACTCTTCTAGTTTGTGTATGTGTGTTCTTTCAGGTAGTTATTGTTATTGTTTTTTATTTTTATTGAACTTTATCCACAAACGTGCAAATGTCATTCACTAGCTAGATACAAGGTGCATTATTGTGCATTTAGACATCACTCTACATTATATACAAATAAGTAAACAATAACAGTAAATAAAAAAGCAAATTATAGTTGCCAAACAAATCATCTTAATACAGCAACGTAACTATGCTGATTTTGTTTTTCTTTAGTCTTTAAGAGTCTCTAAACACATTTTTATTAGTTTTGAAATGAATGAATGAAATATGCGGGAATCTCAAGTTTTTCAGATTCGTATTCCCCGAAGGTGCCACTAGAGGGCGTGCATGACGCAATAGCCGTACGTCAGAGTCAGTACGTCATCATTGCGGGCCCTGGAATCAGCGAGCGACGAGGGGGTCGACTTCTTTCCTCTGTCACTGCGAGCAAATTTTTCATTTCCTCTTAAAAATAAGGATAAAGGAAGCGGGTAGCAGTGGTTTGAATGCTTCAATAAGGTAAATTCGATGTTAAACGATGATGTGTTGGGTTATTTACACACAACGTTAACGTGTAGTGACCGTGACTTCCTGCTCCGTATCGTTTTAAATTTGTTAAAACGTCGTGTCGGTTCGATTTAATTCAGAGGTTATGTGTGTTAATTGTTGTGTTTATGCTGCTTTTATTCGAACAAGTAGAACCGGTGCATGTTGGTCATTGTTGGAACCACAGCGAGTCTTATTGTAATCAATATCCTTTACTTTTAATAGCTTTTTATGTCGCTAAACTGGGCGAGATTGATTATTCACACAGACAGCACTATATAAGGGATTACTGGCTGAAAATATATTACTGAATTGACTATTAAAGATTCAGGAAAGCATGCACTGATGTGGTCCCTTTAGGTCGATACAAATATAAAGGATGAAATATCAGTAATCACGTTTCCGACTGTCCTGAATGCAGCTGCAGAACAAATGAAGCGTATCTTTCCAAAGAAAATTAGTTTTAAATCAAGTTTATTTCAAATTTCAAGCAAAAACATGCAGCCGAATGAAAGCTCATTCATCTCAAGACCATGGTATAATATCTGACTAACGATAAACATCACATAAAACATAGAAATTTAAAGGCTAAACTTAAAATCACCCTAAAACGATTTGATTTTGTTCAGATTAGAATGCACGTCAGAGAAATGAGCCTTATACACTGGTTGTAAAGAGAGACCGTTACATGAGAGTTGCAGAGATGCAAGGGCTGGGTGATTAATCAAATTATTTTAATGAATTATCTACAGTTTCAGACGCACAGATGTCAAACATTTGCAGATTTTAGCCTCTGAAATGTGAGAATCTGATGTTTTTCTTTGTCATGTGTGAGAGCTTATGAAATATCTTTGAGTTCTGGTTGGATGGACAGACAAAACAAGCTGTTTCCAGATTAAAGTTTGAATGGCCGTTTTGCAGTACTGCTGAAGAAATGGACCAGTAAAAGTTTTTTAGTTAATTTTGGTCAGTAGATAACATGCATGAATTCTGATATTCAGGTCTGCTGGAGTCTGTCATATTTTTCTAAATTTGTTTTCTTTACGTTTTGGATTAGTTTTCCTGTCGTACACAGGTGTTCACACTCTGCCCGTCTTGATTATTGTCAACCTGTGTTTTTATCTCTGTAGGTGCTTTCTGTCTCTGAGGTCCAGCAGTGTAGTCTGTTGCCATGGCGTCTCCAGGGGGGCAAGGAGGAGGAGGAGCTCTGTCGACGAGAGGAGGCAGCGCGGCCCGGAGGATGAAGTGGGCTCTCGAGCTGAGCTTGGGCAACACGAGGTAAATGGAAACAGAGTCAATTCAAACACTTAAACATAAATTAATCAACTAGTAGCACTTGTTTTTTACTGCAATTTACTGTGCAAAGACAAAAAAAAACATCTTTGTGTCTCTGTCAATGTATAAATTGTATATGTCTTTTTTTGTACACAGGTCTCTCTCTGTATCTCATACACCAGCTTGTGACCTTTCTTGCTTTAACAATGATTTGTAACTTGTAGTGACTAGAGACTTGGCTCTTTTCTGTATTTCAAAAGGACTCTGTGAATGAAAGAGTCACACACCTGGGGAACAAAAGCTAAACTCTTTGTGTTACCTCTGTGCTGCAGGAGTCGTGGTGATCGGCAGGGCGGTCAGGGAGACGTCGTTTACCCCATCGGCTACTCTGAGAAACCCGTCCCTGACACCAGCATCCAGGAGACGGACAAGAACCTGGTGGAGAAGGTGTGGAAAGCTATTATTTGTTTCTCTCTTTTACACCTACAAGTATAACACAATACAATTCATTGGAGGACTGTTGTATTAGTCGACATTAGTTTTAGCTAAGTGTACCTAATTAACTGGCACATGAGAGAGTATACATTTTACACTTTTCCTCAGGAGTTTTAAAGGACCATCTGTGGTGTTTTGGTTGACCAGTTTAGAAGGATAATCCATTTGATATTAACATATATGAAAGGAGAGAAGTGATAATCACACTAATTTGCTGCTGAGTGTCATCTTCTGTCTCTCCTTGTGTTGCACAGCGTTGCTGGGACGTGGCCCTCGGCCCCTTAAAACAGATCCCCATGAACCTGTTCATCATGTACATGTCGGGCAACACCATCTCCATCTTCCCCATCATGATGGTCTGCATGATGGCCTGGAGGCCCATACAGGCTCTTATGTCCATGTCTGCCAGTGAGTATGCAGTATTCAGATAGTTTAATATATTTAAATTATGATCAGCTCACATCAAGTTCATTTCTGCATCAAATTTGTCCTCTTGTGTCTCAGCCTTCAAGCTGTTGGAGAGCTCCAGTCAGCAATGGCTTCAGGGCCTCGTCTACCTGATCGGTAACCTCCTGGGCTCGGCGTTGGCCATCTACAAGTGTCAGTCCATGGGACTGCTCCCAACACACTCGTCTGATTGGCTGGCTTTCATAGAACCGCCTCAGGTAAACAATACGATGAATATAATACCAAAGATCTCTGACTTTTTATGTTTTTTTTTTTTGTTTGTTTCTTTTTATGGTTAATGATGCTTCAAATACCAGCAAGAGGTCACAGAAAAATACCAAGTCAGGCATGTCGTGCCAGTCTATGAGGCAAATGAGCTCCGTCTGTTTGCATAAGCCAAGCTGATGCAGAGCTACACAAGCTGTCCATCGGCTGATTGATTAGCTCAAATCAGTTTTGTTCCATTTTTGTTTCCCGCTTGTTGAGATATCACTAAGCCAAAACACACACACAAGCCATCAACTGAAATATAGTTATCTATTATAATGTTGCCTTTATTTGATAAGAATAAAAATGGCATTTGTGGTCTTTGCAACCAGTTTATATTTTCTAAGCGTTGTAGACTGACTATAAACATCTTAAGTTACTAAATGGACCTAAACCTGTTCTAGACCTGTTCATTTTGAGCAAGTTCCCTTACATGAATCTAACTTTTCAGGTTTTGGGGGATTTGGTCCTCAAACATCCTGGCAGTCTCTTATGTGCTGTTCACTTTTAGACCAGCAGAGGGCAGAAGATGCTCATTTTGTTATTACATGTTGAATTGTGATTTATAAAGTCATGTACAGCTAGTTTTTTTTTTTTAAAGAAGCACTTTGAGTGTGTTTTTTTAATAATGGTGCATTTTATCAGCGTTTTTGTTAGTAACTGGTAAAATACACATTTGTCACATGGATTTGGGAGAAAAAAAGTTTCACCGTTCTTTAAAAGAAGTAACTGGCAGTGTGACAGAAACCTGCAGCAGTGTGCTGAGCCAGACACTCCTTCATATACAGAGGGTGGGCACAACAGCAGGAACACCTCAATAATATAATGTAATCCAGATTTTCCCTGAGGATTTTTGTTTAACCATGGTGGTGGAAAATAGTTGTTAAGTATATGTTGTATTTGCTGTGTGAAATAGTGCGCCTGTTCTTTTTCCCCAAAGAATAATTTTCTATTTGATAAAGGTGTATTAACCTTTATGATGTCAGGGGAGTGGTCTGTTTAAGGCCAATACAAATATTGATATTTGAGAAATCAGACGATATCTCAGCCGATATGAGTCTTTACACAACCTATAACATAAGTAAACATTTTCGATAAGTTTACCTTAAATCTTTTGTTTTTAACAAGTGCAACCAAAAAATGTACTGAGGAGGATGTTTTACAGCTGAAAATAAACTTGTCACTGATCTTTGGAGGACAAACTACACAGCGGTGACAGTTTCAAAAGTTTTAGTTTCTTGTCATCGGCTGACAAACACACAGATACACATATCTATATACATAGATGCACAACTGGTATCACCCAATTTATCAGTTGCTCTCTAGTGAATAGCACTTTTGTCAGGGTAATTATTCTTCTGGTATCTAATTCTGAGAAGAGCAAATACTTTAAAAAAAAATATATATATATAAATATATATATGTATGTATACCTACTTATTTGCATTTACTAAGGCAATTTACAAGTAATATAATCATTGCAATAAAACAGAAGCCCTGACTGTCGGTTCTTTCAGTTTCGAAAAAGGGTAATGAAATATATAAAAGCTGAGATGTATAAATTATAGAGAAAAGAAATAATAAAATACATGTATAAAATGTGTGTATTGAAAATATATAGCAAATGTAGCCATCACTTTGTGGTGTGCTTGGATGATATTTACTTCAATTCAAAAAAACCTGCAGAACCCATATTAAAGAAATGATGGACCTGCTTCCTTTCCCATATTTTCTCCTGCTGCCGTCTTATGGAGGAAGTTGTAAATTGTAAATTACATCCATTTAAAGTTAGATTTCTGGCTTCAGCCACTTTCTAGTAACGGCTGAACACAAACTTAATTTATCCATGTTTGTCTCGTCTCAACAGAGGATGGAGATCATGGGCGGAGGGATGGTGTTGTGAAGATGGACCGTGCAAAAAAAAAAAAAAAAAAAAAGTGAAATACTTAACAGAGGTTTATATACTGTTCATTCTCTACCTGCACCACACAGCCAGACGACCGGTCACAGTTGACGTGGAACACAGCTGTTTATTTCTTCTTCAAAACAGATTCAAACCTCTGCAGTGGCAGTTACAACAGGCGAGATGTTTGTTAAATCAGCTGCAGGGTGTGCGGTGCAGCTTTAGACCAAGGCCTCGTCCACCATACACACATTTTGTTTGCCTTCCTTGACAGACACACATTAACATTATATTACTTAGCTCTGCTGCTCTGCTTCATGTCTTGAGCTCTGCTGTTTCCCATTGCTCTTGTTTTAATCTCTAAATAAAGTTTTCAAAGCCAGTAGACGACTGCTGAGCTACTGTAACTTACTTCACATGCACCGGCTCAAATAGGAGATTATTTATATCCATTTTTGCCAGTGCAAACATCATTAATAACAATTTTATAAATCCTAAAAATTGAGTCCCAGTCAGTAAAGTGTTTTCATTTTTATCTTATTAGGTTATGTTGCAGCAGGATAGTGTTTTCTTCATTTTTCCTCTCTTCATTTTCATTTTGTTTCTCAGCTTGTAGTGAAAAGCTTAATTTTGTTAACATGATTTCCACATGCAAACCAGCGACATTTACCAACCTGTTTAACTTATAGGCTGTTTAATTTATACTGATTTGCTCTATGAAAATGTTCTATGAAATAAATCCTTATTGGTTAAAGTAAAAATATTTTCAACTGTGTCAATAAACATGTTGGATGAAAAAAAAAAAAAACTCTGGGCATTTTGTTTTGTTTGTTTCTACAGAAATATGTTGGCACCTTGTTCACACAGAAGTCATAATAAATATTAAATGACCTTCATCACGGACAATGAAAGAGATTAAATGTTACCTAAAAGTCTGGCAAAGGTGTAAAGTCTTAAATTATCACAGCTCAGTGTTTATAGTCTGCAAAACCCTTATTTAGTAACACACACAGACATGATGCGATTGATAAGAAAAAGATGAGCTGCCTTTTTACTTCAAGTACTTAATTCAATCAGCGCATTTTAATGTGATATATTACAAAGTAAGATTTGAACATCCCGTTTCAGTTAAAATTAGATGCGGGGAGGCGGTAGCTAAACTTTTTGGTGAAACTGAACACTTAGGTGAAAACTAAAACTCCTCTACAGCTAGAATAGCTGAGAGACTCTGCATTTAACCCTTTAAATGCCAGTTTGAAGACATGTTGCCTCTTGTTTTATTAAAAAAACAACACAGAATATGAGATATTTCCCACATAATACATGATGGAGGGATGTGACATTGTTTTATATCAGAGTCTTTTATATCAAGACATTTCTCAAAACCAGAATATGATCAGGGTGACTTTTGAACACTGGAAATAAATCATGTACTCATCCCGGCAGTAGCCTCCATGGCACTCAAAATTTCCCTGGAATTTTCTAGTTGTAACTTTATGTTTTCGCTTGAATTTCATTTCCACGCTCAAGATTACTTAAAAAAACATTATTTGGGAAAAAATTTTAAATCTACATTTAGTATTAATTTGTTTGATTACGTCAAGTGTTTACAACGAATGTTCTTTGGCAGTAAGTGTTATCCGACATTTCTCACGTATGTCCAGAAGGGGGCAGTGATTCGCCGAGCAAACTACTACAGAAAGAGGTGAAGAAGAGGGAAGAGACATCCTGCTTTCTGGTCCAGAGCACTGACTGTATAAAAGAAAGGACGTCAACTCCGAGTCTGGAGAATGAAGCCAATGCAGAAGTTCGTTAAACTTGCTTTCTCTCGAATGACCATCATGGTGACTCCACTGGTTGCAAAAAGAAGTCCGATTATATTTAAGTCTATGGGAAAATGACCCTACCTGTCACTTGATTTGTTACCTCCGTAAACGTTTTCATTACGTGTTTATGGTCTGAATCACAGTTCAGTTGAAGATGCACCTTGCTAACCAAGCTAGTGCTAGTGCTAGCGTTAGCTGATAACTTAGCGATTGCTATGCTAACGGTACCTGGCCCCGCTGGGCTGATAACCTTTGTCAACCTGGGTTAGCCCGTGGAGGTGTTCAGTCAAAGCCCAATAAAAAGGTGAATTTAATCGACGTTAATCTAACGACGTTTGGTTTGTGTTTCACCACATGTGACCCAGTTTAAGTGATCTGCGTTAGTCTAATGCGCAGTGTTAATGTTGGTTAATACATTGCCCATCAAGACGTCGTGATAGTTCAAGTTAAGATAAGGTGAAGTATAAAAACAGCTGATCGATATTTGTGATTAACTGTGATCCACCGCATCTCAACTCAAGTGTTTGTGTTTTATTGTCATTTGAAAGGTTTCCACACTGTGAAAACTGAGTGATCTGTGCCAACAGAAGGACGACCTCATGTACAGAGCAGCCCATTTGTTTCCATTCATCTGGTTGTGGAGAAGGGAGACTGCATGGACATCCTTAGTTCTCTAATGTGCTGTGATGATGATGGTAGAAAACCTCTCCCAGTTCAGCTTCCTCTGATGAAATGACAGACTAACTGCTGATGAGTTTGTTTATTATTCTCTGTCTTCAGGATTCACAGGTTCAGTTTCTTACCTGAAACTTCTTTTCTGCTGTTGTTGACAGGTGATGGTAGCAACACTTTTAAGATCAGAATTTATAAATATTAAACTGTGATTAAGTGATGGATCAACTCTAGCACTGTCACCACCTCCACAGGTGAAAGTATTTACAGATTAACATTAGAATGTTTTATGATCCTTCACTGTCAGTGTTGTCGGACAGCAACATTTAAATATTTCTAGTATTTATGTTGTTGATTAAAGCTAACATAGAAAAAGTCACACAGTGCTGTACATGTTACTATTGTGAAAATTCATACCAGATGTGTTCTATAAGTTAAAGCAAGAGCTTCATAAATTACTTTATTGGACATTATAAACTACATTAATTTAAACAATTTACAACACTGGAAACATGTCTAAAATAGATTAATTAAATGGTGTACAATTTACAATCAACCATTTAAAATCAATAAATAGTTGTCGATTAAGTTAAAGCTGAATTTTGCTGTCATATGTAAGTTTGTTTAAAAAAAGAAGTAGGTGAATCAACAGTGCAACAGAATTTAAAAACAAGTATAATCATTATTCATCATGAGTCCTAATGTGTGAGACAGTTCATATTTATTTGCTTCAGTAACAATCTCCCTCTAAATAAGTGATGCTGTTGGAACAGCACACTGATATTAACTATAATGGCTGAAGACTATGAAATATGAACTCTAATGTTTTAAATTATTGACAGTTTGTTACAGCTACAGTGGACTCTAAAAGTCATGTGATTTTATGTCTGAGATGGGGCAGAGAGTGTACGACAGTGAGGGTGTAGGGAACAAGGAAGAGCACAGCTGATCAGACTGAACAATGTTATGGCCACAAGTGTTACATTAAAAAATACTATATTATCATGTAAGACACTGTGTTTATGTTTGGGAAGAGAAGATCTTCATGTGTGGATACTGCAGGTTGTTGAAGAAAAGTCCTTAGTTTCAAGTTTGCTGTAGTGATGTAAGTTTATTGGTATCCCAGGATACGGTGAGCCAACTGACACAGAGCGGGTCTGAGGCAGTAGACTGACCCAGAGTAAAGGGCGGGGGGACAGTTATACAGTTGAAGACAAAGGGATAGACAATTGTATTTGGTCAGACAGGATAACAAGTTGGAAAGGAGGTTAGAAGCAAAACGTAACGTTCTCTAGAGGTCTTGCAATGTAACACCTAGGTTCAAGTTATCAAGGGGGTAGGAGGGGCTCTTAGGCTAGATCAGCATATCCACAGGTAGGGCAGGAAGAGCCCTTGGACTGAATCAACATATCTACAGGTAAGATGTTGTTAAGACGATGAAGCCTTGGTGATGTAAGAGGGAAGAAGGGGTGTTCTCCTTGATGACAGGATCAAAGGGCCAACTCAGTAGGGTTGTAGAGTTGTTCCTAGGTGTCAGCAAGTCACACTGAATACACTGAAGCATGTGTATATTCTTCCTCAAGGTGGAGGTGGTGCAAGGCCTCCATCATTGCTGCAAGAGGTTGTAGGTGTCCCCAAAGATCCAGACCTCTCCTGGATAGAAGAAAAACATAATGGAGAGAAATCATATCAATATCATATTGTAGAGTACAGAGAAAAAGACAAAAGAAAC